TGATAGCAAGCTCAGAGTGTCCCTGAAATCTCTCTCATGAGAGAGAGTGGTTTCCTTGGCAATTTTTTTTGTCACCTTCTTCCCATTTTCTTTCTACCTACTAGGAATTCCTCAACATTCCTCAACATAAATTCCTCAAATTTATGCTATTGGTGGCCACACCCATTTTCTGGAAATACCATACTTTCAATTTTTAAAAAACTGGGATCTACGGAAAGAGGAAATGAACAAATCTGTGCTCAGTCCTTTTTTTAAGAGGAACTGTGTTGTGGTCTTTGCTTAGAATTTGGGATGACAAAAGACCTTTGTGCTAAAACAGCAAACAACTGAAAAGAGACTATCCACTTTTCTAAAAATCCTTTACTACACCTTCAGAAATGTCTTACTGGCTTTCCTTCTCCACAGGTTCCAGCTTCCTGGCTTTCTTTCTCCACAGGTTCCAGCTACCTGACATTTCACATGGCTCTAGTCTCCTCTCACCGGGCCTCCTGAACACATTTCTGCCATCACCTCTCCCATTTCTCTTACTTGAAATGGAAGAAGCAACAGGCCTATCCACCGTAGACGTGTCAAGTTACACCATTTGACAGACCTGAAGAATTTCAGTCATTTTATGTTGTGTTTTGTTTAATAAATTGAGGGAGTTCATATGCAACTCCAGGTATGTTTGGTTTTTGAGTTTCTACACTGCTAAAATATGGTTATGCTTTCGTTAAATAAAAATATCTGGATTCAGCTGAAAGGCTTATTAACATATGGGCCATAATAATCAAAAATAATATGACACAAAAACACTTTAATCACTAACAGTTGGTTCATTATAAACATTCTGAAAAATGACAAGTCATTTCATGTATTACAAAATTTCATAAGAGCCATGAGAACTATCAGACATTAGGGACAAGTCTTTAAATTTGTTCCTAAATCTATTGTGTCCTAGGCTACACATCAAAAGAGATAAATGAATCCAAAATAAGAAAAACAACAACAAAATGCTTTTGTTACTAATTAGAAAGCAAATACTCTCATTTGGTGTCAGAAAGCAAGCTTGAAGAGAGAGCCTGTGTTCTTTAAATGTATTCCTTTAATGGACTGGCAAAAAGAGATAAAGCTATAAACTCCTCTTGGGATCAAAAACCTGGGCTTGGAATCAGTGGATTCTTAAGGTTTATTTGGAAAAGCACACATCTTGACAGCTACCAGAGAGGACAGTTCATTTTAACACCACCCTCTTCGCACAGATATCTGGGTTGTGTAAGGTGTGTGTATGTGTGCCTGGCAGGGGACGGGAGAAGTGACAACTTTAGTTAAGGAAGTAAAAATCTCCCTCCCTAATGCTCTTATCTGAATGTTGGTACCTTTCCAGTTCTTCTTCTCCAGACCTGGTAGTCATTTAAGAGGAAGGATGTTCATTAGCAAATGTAGTCACAATCCTGAAATATTGGTAACAAAATACATAAGACAAATTCTAGTCTTTTTAAGAAGTGATACAAGAGACCAGTATTTTATTTTACTCATAGTCTACAAAAGTAACAAGATAGTTACTGCATATAAATATCAGACCTGAAAATAATAAATTCATATAAATTAATGGGCTAAAAAAGATTCAGCGTCTTTCCCTGTCATGCATGGAAAAACTGTTCACTCAATCTGAGTATCTCAGTACAATTTGACCCAGTGTTTATAGTCCTCTTTAGAAGATGTTGAGAAGTTTTATTTATGTGTGTGTGTGTATACATGTGTATATACATATAACAGTTTATAAGTTGATATCTTTCTCAAAATTTCATTGATCTTAACTCTTAAAACAGAAGTTACTAGGCTCTAGCAGAGCTCAAACTTCCTAACTCTGACTTCCTAATAATTCAGATGTTTGAAGAACCAGCTGGCCATTTGTTTAACAGGATTAGCAAAGATGCATTCCCAGAGTTCAGAATTAGACCTGGGATTGCATTTTTCCTTATGAAGAAAAAAAAGAAAAGAAAAACGAAATGTTACTACTAACACTATAGATTAAATGGCTTTTGATTGTAACCTCAGAACCCAACAATTCATAATGCTGTAGCTACTGAAAAAACAAACTGAGTAAACTTTAAAAGTGAACCATTTAAAACAGAATATCCGTGTTACATTATAACTTCAAAAACACTTTATATATTTTAAAAATACCTTCTCATACAAACATTCAGTTAATCTTCCTACCTGCCCAATGTGTCTGGTAGAGAACATGTTATTTACTTTTCAAATGATATCATTTTCACAGAGTATAATTGACTCACTCATGTCATCGTTAATGGGGATGTTTCCTTTATTGCAAATGAGGCCCTCTACCTGCCCCCACATTCCCAACTCCTTTCATGTGTGTCCAAATTCTTATTATTCTTCACAGACCCAGGTGAAATATTTCTGTTCTCATGAAGATAGTCATGAGACCACCCTGCTGACAGTGACGGTTACTTCCTTTGACCTCATGGCCCTTTCTCTCTCTTCCTATCATGACTAAATGGATTTGGAATCAGAAAATTTCACTTGGTATCTGCTTGTCTACCTACCATCAGTGTGATCCTGAAGGTAAACTAAACATAGTAACCACATGAACAGTTTGTGCATTAGTATGGTAGAGGAAACAGAATATACGCCCTTGGAGTCATATGGAAATATAATTTTGGTAAAACAAATAGGAAAGAACTATGTGAACTGTAAAGCCCAATCCAAAGTTCTCTTCACACACACACAGAGAAATATACATAGTTTTTCTTTCTTACACACAACTTTTATTTCCCCTATTTTCTGGTTGAAGGAAGAATCTATAACTAATGAATACTTGATTTTGTCATAGCAGTCATTTGTGCCTCACAACTAAGTATTTGATACAAATTTCTAAAATGAATGAAGGATTGAGGGTATGACTTATGCTAGCCAAGGTAAGTCTCATAAAGAAGAATGCTCACCACTACCTACTAAATATGGAAAGCCAAAATCTGACTTCAACTTCGAATCTCATTGCCTATTTCTTCTTTGCCACCACTTCAGTCAACCTAGAATTATCCCTGATTCCATAAATATCCCCTACATTAGTCTGGCTCTAGGTCTTGGACCAAATCATTACAACCTTTCCTGTCTTTTATCTGTTGAAAGAGTATCCAGTCTTATATACCTAGCTCAAATGCCATTTTTCCATGAAGCCTTCTTTAATCTCAGCCACTGGAAATGACACCCCCTACTCTTAAATCCACAATATTTGTTCATATGTCTCACAGCCATTATCATTTGACCACACAGTATATGTGCTTATGTGTGGGTTATCTAACCTAGTACATTGTGATCGTGTTACGATCAGCACTATGTTTTAGTTATTTTTATATCCCACAAAACATGTAGTAAAATGTCTTCTATATAGTATGTACTCGAATAATATAAAGGATGGAGCAAAAGTAAGTTTACAGTCGTTCATATAGAAAATAATCCAACAAATAATAATAATTTAAGTATGTTTCACATACTCACAACTGTAAACATACATTTGCCCCACCCTGTACATGGCTTGACTCTTCAACTGTGTGTTTCTGCCTTATAAATTGCCATAAAAACATAAAAAAGATTTTACAAAGTGATAATCTACCATTTGAAGTCATTATTACTACTCGTTCCTATCAAGGTAGCATATTCTGGCAGAAACATACCTTTACTAACATTTAAAAAACTACAAATACATAAAAAAATTACTTATAATCTGGTTTCCTCCATAAGTAGAGAGCAGCATGTTCTTACTAATTGCAACTTTATCATTAAAGAATGATTTATTTAAAAAGTTAAAGTACTCAATATGACATTCAGTTAAAAGCATAAAAGACACTCTAGAAAATAACAAGAGGCTGACACATTTTCAGTGCACATCACTTTCATCTTTCATCACACTAAGTACTGAACCTAACATAACAGCTACCGATAGTCCCCATTCTTGTTATTATTGTAACATAAATTTCCTTTATAACAAGGGCACACAAGTCTCCTTCCTCAGGCATATTTAACTCACATAATCCCTCACTGTCATCCCCCCAAGCAGTTCCAAACTCAGTGCACACTGAGCCCACCAACAGCTGTTCTCCAGACAGACTAAGTGCTTTCTGTGCTTCCTCATCGAGTAAGGGCTTCCAGATTTCTTTAAAAAATATATCCTCTTAGATGCTAAGCCTCTATGGTCTCGTTTTATGTGATTATCTTCACTGTATTACTTAACTCCAGAGAATTTCTGGGTTTTTCTGCTATTTGCTGTATTTTGTCCTGCCCCCACCAATAAACAACCTTGAATTTATTTGTGGCACTGCCTGCCCCTTTCTAATCTGATATGTCAGGAAGGCTTGCCCAGACTTGGGAGATACAAACACGGGTCCTTTAAGAAGACACCCATCAATGCTGAACCTTCTCTAATGACTTCTTCATTGTCTGAACTGACTTAGGCTGTTATTAATACTCTCAACTAATGAGGGAAGCAGGCCCTTTTAGGGGATATCAAAATCACTGTCAAGGAAAAGGGATGTGTGGTTTGAAAAACTGTGTTGAATTTTATATTAAAATTGTATTTAGAGTTTGAAAACAATGTGTTTTTCCAAGCACAAGTATGACCCCAGTTAAAAGTATCAAATTTTGATAGGTAGGAGCATGAATTTAAAATTAATTATCACTGTATACTAAATAGTAAATAACGTGGCTATTACAAAGTACAATGAGTAAATGCTCAGCATCTTTCAATAAATCCATATTTCTTTTACGTGCCAAATTCATCACAAACTGTGGCACTATTTTAGGCTTATTATTAAAGAAAATATTTTTTAATTCTACCTTACAATTGGCAGAAAAGAAAAAGAGGAAGAAAGGAGAGAAAAGAAGAACCAGGGAAAAATAATGCCATCCTATCATATCAACAATGAATGAAGCACCCTTGGTGGAAGATGGTAATATGACTTAAAAGCATGGACACAGTGAATAAATACACTTACCTCAGTTATATGAGGATTGGGGTTAAAACCACAGAGGCTACACACAGTGGTTTTACATCCAGTACATGTGTTAAAATTGGCCTTTTCGGGAACGTGCAACAGCAATTCAGTGGTATTGCAAAGAGGACAGATGGTTTTAGGGGGGCCTTCCACTGGAATCTGGGCTGCAGATGAAGAAGTCTGTGGCTGAGGTTTCCCAGGTCCTGTCTGGCTTACTGGTTCTGTAGATTGCTGAGCTGAGGGCTTTGCTGGGCCAGGCTGTTGAGATGGGGGCTTTGCTGGGCCAGGCTGCTGAGGTGGGGGCTTTGCTGGGCCAGGCTGTTGAGCAGAGGGTTTTGCTAGGCCAGGTTGTTGTGCTGAGGATTTTCCTGGGCCAGGCTGTTGAGCAGGTGGCTTTGTTGGGCCTGGCTGCTGAGTAGGAGTCTTTCCTGGCCCAGGCTGCTGAGCCAGAGACTTTACTGGCCCAGCCTGCTGTGCTGGAGTCTTCACAGGCCCAGGTTGCTGAGCTGGCGATTTTGGTGTCCCTACGTATTGGGCTGGCGGCTTTGTTGGTCCTGGAGGCTGAGCTGAAGACTTTGGCCCAGGCTGCTGAGCTGCAGGTTTTGCTGTCCCTGGTGGCTGGGCTGGGGGTTTTGTCAGCTGCTGAGCTGAGGGCTTTGCTGTCCCAGGCTGAGCTAGGGCCTTCGCTGGCCCTGCTTGCTGAGCTGAGGGTTTTGCAGGTCCAGGCTGTGGCATGGGAAGTTTTTCAGGTCCAGGATGCTGGGCTGGAGGTTTTCCAGGACTTGCTTGTTGAGGCGGTGGCTTGGATTGGCTTTGCAGTGAGGGTTTGACTGATTCTCCCTTGACTGTGTCTACCTGTTTAGTCTGAGGCCTAGTTGCATCTCTTTGAAGTGGTAATTTTGTCTGATCTGTTTGAGGAGCCTGGGTAAGCCCCTGAATTGGCTTTCCAGTCCCTGGAGGTTGTGATTTCATTTTTTCTGGTTGCTGTGAAGATACTGATTTGGGAGAGCCATCCTGCTGAGGTGGGGTGCTTATAGGTCCTTGCTGCTTAGGAGTTGACTTGGGTGACTGTTGTGATGGAGGCTTTGTGATTCCTTCAGGTTTTCCTTGTTCCTTCTGAGCTACTCTTTGTTTCTTGGCGGTTTCTTCCTGGGATGCATCAGAGTCTGATATCAAATCAAAAGGATTGAACTTATTTACAACAGAGGAGACAGCACTTAAAGGGTTAACTTCTGAGAGGAAGCCAGGCATCATACTGGACTTGTGCTCTTCCTTAAAATCAGTTCTAGACTTTGATTCTTTCAAACTAATAGTGGAAGGACTCCTTCCAGGCAATTTTTGCTCTGACCTCAAAGTGTCTGTAGTTCTACTTTTACTGAGACCAGGCTGAGCTGGACGCCCAGGGTCTGGCGGTTTTCCTGGTGGCTTTGAAGGGTGACTACTATCCAACTCTTGTTTCCTAGAAGAGTGAAACAAACAGAAGTGAAAATGCTGAATTTATCACAACTAAAAGTAGTATAAAAGTTATTAACTTGCTTATAGCCTCATAATTATAAATGTATAAATATAACAAGAACCCATTTTTGCAACATTCTGTAAGTGATCATAAAACTTAATGCCTTTACTACTTTCTTTATAGGCCCAGGGTAAAGATTTTCAACAAGAATGCAAATAAAAGGGAGAAAACTACAATATTTACTACTAGGAGTGATGAAAAATAAGAAAGCTAGTTCCAAAGCATTCACAATAAAAGTAATATACATATGTACTTAATAAAATCTGGCCATACTTAAAACCTAATTAAACACATTAACTCAATAAATCAACTCAATGCTGTATCCTAGTACATTCACTTTCACAAGGTGTATTCTTTTTCATTAAAATTATAGTCAAAGAATGTTAGCCCCTCAAATACTAGCAGTGATTAAGAAGTAAAAATTTTAAATGTGGGAATTCACTGCAACTGTATTTTGTTGCTTTTCATTTCTACTTGATTATGACACTTTATATTAGTTATATAAAACAGACAATGTTACATCAGGAGTGTTTCTAGTGAAGAAGGTTACATTCAACAGGGATTCTGACAAAGCTGATCAGTTATTCTTTCTAAAAAGGTAATATCCACCAAATATTAACTTTATAGAATGAAAATTCCTCCTAATTAGCAATTTTTGAGAAACATTTCCACCTTTCTTGTGGAAAAATGTTATATCATTTAATTTTTTTTCTAACAGCTAATTCTGAGATCTTTTTGCAGGGTAAGAATAGATACATAAAGCATCTTGAGATACAGCCTGCTATGCAAATAGCAACAAGGTAGCTGTGACCCCACTTCGAAGAAAAGTATTGCTACTTTCCTTAAAGAAAATACATGATGATCTTTTTTACTTAATATTTTCTACAATATTTACTATTGTTATTTTTAGATTATTAGTATTATTGACATTGTGTTTAAAATGCAACAAGTCTCCCTGGCCAGGTGCTCAGTTGGTTAGAGCATCTGCCCAATATGCCAAGGTTGTGGGTTCAATCTCTGGTCAGGGCACATACAAATAGCAACCAATGCATACAAAAATAAGTGGAACAACAAATCTCTCTCCCTCTCCCCGCTTCTCCCTCTCTCTCTCCCCCCTTCTCCCTCTCTCTCTCTCTCCCCTTCCTTCCCCCTCTCACAAATAAATAAATAAATATTAATGGTTTTGCTAACAAGACCAAATTTAAATGACTATGTTAAAGAATTAAAATAGCTGTTTCTCATATATACTTTTAGCCAAAAAATCAAGTAGATTAATTTTTTAAGTAAGTCATTTTCTTTATTGATAAATTTGAAACTAATAATATGCTGCATTAGAATTACAGAAAAAAGGAAACTATAAGTATTTTGTTTGATAGCTAGCTTTTTCATTTTGAAAAGATTTACTTCTTTCTAATTAAAAGAAAAAAGGAGAAAAACAGAGATTCAGTAGCACTTAAAATATAAGATGATCACAATAAATTTCTACAGGTTTTTAATTTGTTTCATCAAAATTTACCTGCTCATGGGCAGGTTAATTTTAAATTTCAGATCATTTGTCAGTTAATAATGTAAAGCATGATAGAAAGACACACAGAAGTAATACTTCTAATTAGCAAAGGGTCAGAAATAAAATAATCTATAAATGGCAATGTATACACAAAATGATTTTCTAATAAAAGAGTAAATAAAATTCTTATTCTGGCACTTTCCTTCAGGAAAAAAAGTTACAAAAACTTTAGATATTACCTTGTCTCTGAAACCTTTACTGAAACAAAGAACTAAAATCAATCTCCATATTAATTCCAAGAGTTCAAATATGTTTCTAACATGCTCTGCAACATATTTCCATTTGGGGAAAATAATTCTGAATGTTTCTTTATAGGCCTTCCTATATGTTCTCTTCCATATGAAGGCAGAAAGGCCATTGTAAACCTATAATAGATTATTTTCAGAAAGTTCCACTGTTTGGATTTTTATATTATTCTAGCAATGTTGTGTATTCAATTAATAAAATAGACCAATCCTTGAAGGGCAAATGCTTAGGGACTCTGTTATAGAAATGACTATCTTATAAATAATTATTTAGACAAGTTATTGAATTTGCTATCTTGTAAGCATCCTAAAAATCGGTATTTAAGCAGTGTGCCAAAAATATATTCTTAACTAAATTGTCCACTTTGAAAATACTATTATACTTAGTCACTGTTTTGTGATATTGTTTTACTTAATCAACATTATCTACTGAACAAATAAAAAATAAACTTAATACCAAATAATAAAAAATATTAAAAGTTAGCAGCTCGTATAAGAAACTATAATTGCATGTACTCTCTACAAATATAAGTTGTACTATATAACAGGGTCACCCTGTGAGAAAATACCTAGATAGCTATAAAGATTGCCCTACAATTTAATTTTTAGTTGCTGTAATTATGTAAACAAACAAAACATGGAGATCAGAGAGTGAGAAATAGAAAGAAAATCATTAAGAGAAAATGTAAGCTTAATACCAAACAAAAATATAAAGTTGTCTTAGAAAGTTGTCCTTTGGTGAACTTTTGTTTAACAGTTATTCTATTAAAAAGAACAATGATTAAAATGCAGTGTATGTCTTGTTTACTTCTCTCTGAACTCATGGACAATGTGTGCCACTCATCCTTGCATCACTAGTACCAACTCTGGTAACTAGAAGATGAGCATTAATGAACAATGAATAATAACAATGAGTGAATGAATGAGTGAACAGGGCAGGTTCTGTATTATTCTAGATTAGCGGTGCTTGAATTCTTTCCAAATGGAAACATTCCATATTATTTTTAGATCTTGGATTTGGCCTGATGCTCTGGGAAGAAAAACAGTCATGGAAGTGTCTAACCAATATGTGAGGCCTGAAGGAAATCTGAAGAAAATAATTGAGTAAGTCAGAATTCTTATAAGACATTCTACCAATTAGAAGTGATTTTTAGGCCTTGCCAGTATCTCAGTTTGTCAGGGTATCATCTCAATATGGCAAGGCTGTGGGTTCCATCTTTGGTCAGGGCACATATAAGAAGCAACCAATGAATGCATCCATAAGTGGAACAATAAACTGATGATTCTCTTTCTCTTCCTCCCTATCTCTCTCTGAAATCAATAAACAAAAAAAAAACCTTAATAGATGTGTTTTTAGTAAAGTCCTTATCATATGACATATCTGTACCCATAAAAAGAATGAGTAAAAGAAGTAATAAAATTGTATTTCCCTGGGTCTACAATGAATCAAAAATCCAGGAGCATTTTCATTTGTAACCTGTAACTTCTAGCTTGCAACTCCCCATGCTTTATACAACATCACTATTTTACTATCGTAGTCCCCAGATTACAATTTTTCTTTCATAGGTTAGCAGAACAAATGGTTCAGCTCAAATGAAGTAAGCATGTATTCAAGTGCAGAATGTAAAAGCAGTTGAAATGCTAAAATTTTCTGTTAAATATAACATGATAGGCAATGACAACTTGACAGTGCTGAGTCACATAAAATTTTACATTAGGGATGTAAGCAACTACAGGAATTCATTTTGATAGTGTAGAGGATACTAGGGTATAAAGACGCTAAGAGATTAATCCATGACTATAAAATTAGTCACAGAAATATGGTGTCCTGATTCCTGAGGGCAAAAGGAGGGGTAGATTTCCATCCCTTTGCACTGACTTTCCCATATGTAAAATATAGATAGATCAAACATCTCATAACAATGAATAATTCAACATACAACTTGTCTATAGCCATCATTGCTGGTGCCATTCACTGCTGATATTATTACTTTTTTATTTTGTTCATATTAAAATCCAAACAAAAACGCCCCTCTCAATTTTTCATTGATTCTCACAATGATTTTACAAGACAGGTAAGACAAGTATCATTTTCCTTATTTAGAGGCAAGGAAACTGAGGCACATAGACTGAGAAGCATTTATAATTTACCACGAGTCAGTTAAAATTAATAGGACAAGAAACTAGGTTCCTGGGTTCTCAACACTTACTTCTCATTTGTTTTTAAATCAAACCCTATCTCTTAACATTTCAAATAATTTGGATACACTTTCTCATATATGTTTAATGTGTTTTTAATATTTAAATGATAAACCAAGTGTGTCTTTGGTTTAACAACTTTTGGGGATAACAACTTTCTAAAAATTATCTTCTCTAATTTTAATATTCTCTAATACTAATATTAATAGAAATCTTTCAGTAAAATATAAGCAGTTGCTAAAATTAGAAACATACTGTTATTATTTAGATGAAACTTTCACCAATAACAGGGCACAGATTACCCATTAATAAGAATTCTATCACAAAATTATCAATTGAGTGCTTTAAAAGTATGCTATCTGATACAAATACGGCATGAAACATCAGTGTTTCAAAGGCTAAAATAATATTTTTCAGACACCCTCTGAAAGAAAAGTTAGGAATTTAGAAATCAAAGCTCACACTCTCCTCAGTATTTGTAACCAGCATGCTAACTAAACCTGTTGCTTGTAACACTTAGGAGAAACGGCAGAACAGACATACATTTCTAAAGGTTAATAGAAGCATTGTGCCTCATTATTATCTTATGAAAATCTAGTCTATGAACACTCAAAATATTTTACAAGTCAAATTTTCATCAGTAGTGGAAAATAGTACATATCATAAGCTGTACGACTTAAGGTAATGAATAAGAAAGGCTATTTGCCAAAGAAATAGCCCATAAATTACTAGTTTAAAAACACAGAAAAACATAACCACTGTAAGGAGCTAGCTTAACTAGCAGTGGTAGTTTCATTTTAAGAAAATAGAGTTTTTACCTGATGTATATTAGGCATTTAGGATTTTATGTGAAAACTATCATCATAAAACACTATAAGCATATGAAACATTTCACATTTCTCCTATATTAAACTTAATACTGTACACACATCATATTCATATGCTTATGTGATGGATTCTAAGTTAACATATTTTTACTTTATGAAGTATAGTATAAGAATCTACACCTATATGTCCAGATCTGTCATATTTCCAATACCTCAAATGAAAATTGTGTTTCCCTTCAGCTACCATTACGAAGGAATGGTTTCAGGACCACGGATAGAGAACTATTATTCTCTATGGAAGGGAGAAAAGTTGAAGGGTTTGTTTACAATGATAAAAGCAGGGAAGGCACAATGATTATACCCTCTTACTATTCTAATTAGAAAACAACTAATTTATTGGGATGAAGGAAAATGGAGAGCAAGAAACGGAAATGAATACATTTATGTTACAGACTAGCTCTTAATTGCCTATAGAAGTTGTCATTTATTTGCTTTGTCTTTAAAAGTATGTACTGGTAACTAATTTTTAGATAACACAAATTCACATGTTCTCCCATAAACCGTAAAACACTTTCGTATATAAAAGAGTGGCTTAAAAAAAAACCAGCATATGCTAATTCAGAAATACATGTACAGCACCTGCCTTGCAGTGACCAAACCATCTGTTAATGCCACAACATATTTCAAGGCCCCACACTGAATATAAAAGATGTGTTCATTTTATACCTCCTACCTAAACAGCTCCTGTTCTCCTCTGGGGGTGGGATAGGAAGGAAGGACAAATCACCTCCAGGGGAATTAATGGTATTATTGCAGAAACATTTAGACATCACTTACAGAGAAAAAGACCCCAAAATGACTGAGGAGTTTTAAACAGAGACAGGTAAACACCCATGTCTACCCAATTCCCAACACGTCTGTTCTGTATTAATGGAAGACTTCCAGATTAGTGAAACACCGGAGGGCGTCTCTCCACGCCATCCAGGAGGGAAAAGGTTCCAAAAGGCCAAACATTACAACCTAAAATCACAGTTCCAAGAATGCAACCCTTGACTATCCCACCAGAAACTCTACAATGCATCATTTTTATTCTGCCCATCAGAAAGAAGGCTTATAATTTCTTTATCGCCACCCATTAGGGAGAATAGAACGAGCGGGGACGACATATATGTACTGCCGCGCCGGCACCTATGTGCAAGGGAAGCTGTACATATATGCCCGGACATAAGCATCATGCGGTGCGTGCCTGTGCAAGGAAGGCGGCTCCGCAGCGGCCACGGGAACGCTTCCCTTGGGCAGACCCTGCGCCCTTGACATGACAGCGGCGATCTGTCTCCTCTCCTCTTCGCTCAGCTGGCTCAGATCTGCCTCCATCCCGGCTGGAATCACGGTGGGCAAGGGGCTCCCCGCCCCGCCAGCCCCTCCTCCGGCGGCCGCCGCAGCCGCTGCCGCCAGCCCTTCGGGGAGCCCTTCCCCTTCCAAGCTCGCCTCATTGCCCATGGCTCGGGGAGACTCGGGGCCGCCGCGCTTCCTCCCTGCGCCGCGTCCCAGTCAGGAAGCCGGGGGTCCGCCGCGGGGCGTGCCGGCAGCGGAGTCCCCGCGGCTCAGGGCCCGGCGTCGCTGCCCACAATGACGGGTGAGGATCAGTCTCGCTCGCAGGTGACGCCCGCGGCGGGTGCCTCCTCCATGTTGGACAACGCCAGGCAACCTTTCCAGAAGACAACTCCCGGACGCCGCCTCAGCGCCCCAAGCCGGGGAGAAGCAGATCTGAGCAGTGCCAGCCGCCGCCGTCCGCCCCTCCCACCGCGCCCCGCCTCCTCGCAGTGCGCATGCGGACCAAGAAACAGGTGATGTTGTGTCCACGCCTATCCCGTCTGCGTCGCTCAGCATCCTTCCTCGAGCTCGGCACTCATTTAAAGGAGCCCAGCGAAAGCTCAGGTTAAAAACCTGGGCGAGGCATCTGTAGTTTCTCTCAGGCACGTTGCAGAATGCCTCAACCTGACTTTTGGTGAACTATATTCCTGGGAGGGCGCAAGGGGAGTGGTGAGGACGTGTCCGTTCCCAGCTTTGATTCATGGGATTTGTAGTTTAAACTTTTTTTCATGACCCCTGATTGCATTCTATCTCCTTTAGACTTAAACGGTTTTATTGTGTGTTTTTTTTTTGAAGTTATATTTTCTTTTTCTCTTTTCTTTTTTTTAATTTTGTTTAGGAAGGTTTTAAAAGATACTAGGAATTGGTTCGGATAACTGGAGATTAACAGGAAAAACCTGATATCTTTGGGACGCATTTCCCTAAAGGAGCTAAAACTGGCTCCTTTAATTTAGATCTTTACCAGAACAATTGCATTAAAACCTTACATACAGCATCAGTAAGCAGGTAAAGTTTCTGAATGCTTGTAACTGTGTTGAACCCTAAAGGGACTATATAGAAGTACAGGATTATGGGAAATTGTGGGTAGGATACTGTAGTAAGAAATAGATTGTAGAATATTACAGTGTTATAGTAAAATGTTTAAAACATGAGTTCAGTTCATTTTTTTGTAAAAATGTGGGCAGAAGAACCCCAAAAGATCAATTAGTTTTTACAGTCACACAGCTAGTTAGCAGCAGAGATATAATTAACCACCCTTTTGGACCCACTCCTTACCCAACCCCAACGCACAGTCTTACCTTGAGACTACATTTCTTAGAAGGCAGTGATTTCGTTCAGCATTGGATCTGCAGTCCCAATTTTACTACCTGCCTTTCCTAATGCAATGGACCAATGTCCTGATTGTTGAGGTTCAAGAAAATCAAAAACTAACTACTGGAAATATATATAATAATTAAACAGAAAAGAATAAGTTGCTCAGATAGTAAGTTTCCAAGGTTTCCAATAATCATAATGATTTGACATTGTACACTTCACTCTCATCATAACTAAAAGGTGGCACAGTTACAACAGAGTGTGACTATGTGACTATAGCTGATCATCAGATGAAGTATTGCACCTGGTTGAGTTCCTACATAAACTTGGTATAAACTTTGATTCTCTCATATCTAAGAGATGTGCCTTCCAAAGTCAAAACTACAAAGAAGAGAATGCTCTTACTTCATACAAACAAATCAAGTTGAGGCAACCTGACGTTCTCATTGGCAAATACATTATGGCCATACCTCCTAGAAATGAGTTTGGTCCAAAACAGGACAATATTTGGCACACAATCCTGAATCACCATGGCTTCTCTGACGAAACAAGTTAACCGCTCCATGCTCAGGCTGCCCTGTGAGTCAGTAACACTCTAGATAAAGATGAGACCGGATAAGAGTCATGTGCTGGCTGTTTTCTAATAATATGCTCAAGGTTTGTGAGAATAAAATATACTCAATGAATTCATACCCACAAACCATAAGCTTTAAGATAATAAGGGAAATATGCTTTCAAACTCTAGCCTCAGGATAATGGTTAAATAAGAAAATATGTTGTTAACTCCACATTCTCTTCCACTGCAGATGAAAATGAGCATGTGAAGTAATAAGAAATGATAATCAAGCCCTGGCTGGCGTAGCTCAGTGGATTGAGCGCGGGCTGGGAACCAAAGTGTCCCAGGTTCGATTCCCAGCCAGGGTACATGCATGGGTTGCAGGCCATAACCCCCAGCAACCGCACATTGATGTTTCTCTCTCTCTATCTCCCTCCCTTCCCTCCCTAAAAATAAATAAATAATTAATTAAAATTAAAAAAAGAAATTTCAAAAAAATAAAGAAATGATAATCAACATGCAAAGTAATTTTGCTGGGCTAACCAAAAAAGTAGTCATTTGTAAGATGGGAATATTGTAGCCTATTGTGCAAAATGTGCATTCACCTTCACCTTCCCTCTTGTCTCCTAGGAGCAAACGTCATAAAAAAAAAAAGGAAAATTGGGATATATGGTGAGAAGAATGAATAGACAGACTATGAAAACAAATGATATGATTCTGACATTTGGGAAACGTTTTAATTGTTGATTTTTTAAATGATTTTTGCCTTTGGAATCTTTATAACTGTGACTTTTGAGTAATATTTTTTTTAAATCCTCCATTTGGGCTTGCAGTTTCTTGTGCTTGGGAGATGTTTCTGATCTAAAGAGAAACACTGCATTCCTTTTGTGAGGCTTCTCAGAAATCTAAGGAAACAAGGATGAGGCCTTGAATGCTGTACATAACTTTATCAATTTCCTCCTGGCTTACCCATAAAAATATCATAATTTGTTTCATTCTGCAAATTAATGGTACTGAAATCAATATCTTTATCACTCCCTTTTTGTCGTATTGTTACTCTAATGATCATTTATTTGAATTTAAATTTAATTTAACAAGCAGGTATTACAGTTCTAATTCACTCAGCTTGATATGTGGGTCATGAAAGGAATCAATTTCTTAACACCTCCACTGTTATATATCATCATGTTTTCTAAAATGACTAATCAATTCCAGAAAATCAGATCTTTTCCTATTGTATTATTCTTGCCTCAGTTTCCCAGGTAGTTTCTACTGTAGTAAATTAGAGCCAATCTAAAGGTGATAGTTAATAACTAAACATGACTCGGTAATGATTCATGGGATTTATAATTCCATGTATTTTAATGTATATATGGATGTATATGTTTGTATAAATATACACAATATGAGAATTTTTATATAGGCACCTATCTTTTTTAATGTTTCTTTTCTAATAGGGGATAAGAGAGGATTGTGTTAATTTAGTGGAGCAAGAACCTGCACAGGCTAAGGTGCAACATCATTTTTGTTATGGCCGAGCTGCTTCTTAGTTGCTATTCTCAGCCATTTTCATTAGCTCTTATTTAAAACGAGCTTTGCAGCTAGAGTGAAGGAAATTCAAATAAGACTACTGTTGATTATAAACTGCCTTCTCAATTTTGAGCGAAAAATCATGAGAAGTGTTTTAAAGAAAACTTTGATAAATTTGTTTTTGAATTCTGACATCTGGAATATGAGGGGGTTTCTTTCCCTTTATATTTAGCCCAAAGTAAACCTGTAATATAAAATTAAGAAGTTGCTTGTATTTAAAATACAGTCCTATAGACATAGGTTTTATAAAATATTAATAATGAAATTAGTTTCGATGTTACTTTACAATATTACTTTGTAATTTGAAAATTACTAATAAGTGTTAAGGCTATAACTTAGACGGTTCAACATTATTTAGCCATTATATACACAATCTTTAGAATTAAGAACCTAATCTTTGGAAAATGGGGATACTGTATGTGTGCATGTTTTAGTCATGATTTTTAGTTGACAATGTTTGACTTTAAATCCTAGCTCTGCCATCTTAGACCAATTTGTGTGTCATTGACTTTTCAGAACTTGAGGTTCCTCAGTGCTAAAAATGAAGAAAATAATGTACTACCTCTCAGGGTTCCTGTGATAATTAAATGAGAAAAATATGTGAACACACTTGTAAGCTAGGAAACATATTATCTCAGCTGTGGTAGATTCTTACAATATTGGTCTTCAGTGAATCAGATCTGCCTGACCGCCACCCTCTACAGTGGGACTGCCACATTTCCCATCAAGAGGTAGGGTTTGTTTCCTCACCTCTTGACTAGAACTGAACCCCTAACTTATTTTTACCAAAAGAATGTGGTGGCACATAACTTCCCAGGCTAGCCTTCCAATCCAGCCCTCTTACTTATTTGGAGATGTCTACACTCTGAAAAAGCACAGGAGGTAGGGCTCCATGAGGAGAGGAGCCCAGCTGCCCCAGCCTCCAGCCATCTCAGCAGAAGCCTGAATGAGTCCCCCTGAGCAACCTGCCCTGGTGGAGGTACCTGATGGCTGCAGTCAAATCAGTCAACTGTGAAACCCACAGAACTGAAAAATAAACCCAAAAGAATCATTAGAATAGTAATAGTATTATAATATTATTTTAGGTGACTAAGTTTGAGGGGTTTAGAAATTCCAGTTTTTATACATTATGATTATGCATAATCTTTCAAAATTCCTTTTTCAGCCTTTTACTTCTTGTGACTGTTTTCCCAGTTACTGTCCAGTTGGATTTGAGTTATTTGTTCACAATTTCTAAATACCACTCTTCTCAACTATAAATTAGAGAGAGAACCCAGTTATACTGAATACTTACATGCTTGTTTCATGGAAGGTTCAGACAAGAAAATATATGAGAAGATGATTTTTGAATTACGTAACACTATGCCAATAACAAACTTATCTAAGTAGATGGAAAACATTCGTGAAAAGTTTTTACAGGAGACCAATGTATTCATTGGAAAAACTGCTGGGGAAGGGAGGTAGCACTTTTAAGGTTGTCCTCAAGCTGGTGTCTAAAACTATGGAAAACAGTATTGAGATTCCTCAAAAAACTAAAAACAAATCTACCATGCAACCCAGCAATTCCATTTCTGGGTATTTATCAGAAGAAAATGAAAACACTGATTTGAAAAGATTCATGCATCCTTAAGTTCACTGCCACGTTATTTACAATAGCCAAGATATGGAAGCAACCTAGGTGCCCATGAATAGATTAAAGGATAAAGAAGATGTGGGATACACACACACACACACACACACACGCACACACACACAAATATGTATATATATATATATACATATATACACACACACACACACACACACACACACAATGGAATATTACTCAGCAATAAAAAAAATTCTACCATTTGTGACAATATGGGTAGTCCTAGAGCACAGGTGGCAAACACAAGGCCCACAGGCTGAA